CAAACTTGGATTTACATTATTGAAATCCTCTGTGTAGGTATTCATCTATTGAAAAGTGTGGGGGAACTTTTTGGAAACTGTTCACACAACTTAATACAGATAAATTTGGAAAGTTCCTCTAGGCTTTTGATCAGCCACTCATTTTCCTTATTCTTCTATTTTACACTTAATTTCATCATTAATTTGTAATATACCATACAATTAACATGTCACTTATCTACAATTGCCTTTGCTGGTAATTTCAAGTATCTAAAATATAACAAAAATATTAAGCCAAAAATTTCCTCTGAATAGCAAAAATGGATGACACAAAGCTATTTTTACTCTAGAAATAATCTTAACAAGTGTGGTTATCTGATATCCTAAACTATAACTAGAAGGCAGCTGCCAAGGCAAGTCTACAGCAGTCCCAAGAAGTGACAACCTGACAGAAAAGGAGGATGCAGACAAACTATTAAAGGACTTTAAAAAAGGGATAGAAACTATAAAACTATAGTAATCGGGAGCTATTGAGTTTTGGTGCAAGTTGCTACATGAACCACACTTGCCTATGAAGGCATACCTATACACGTTATGTTTACAATAATGACTGCATAATCAATATAAAATTACGTTCAGTATGAATTTTGGAAGGCATTACATTGTAGAAAAAATTTCTCCAAAAAAGCTTAACAAAAGAAGAGAAACATCAGTGGCCTACAGAATTCAATTGGTTTTATACTCCACGAAATTCTAATCTCAAAAGTCAAGAAAAAAAATCTTTCCCAAATCCTTAACTATTAAAATGTTTGTGGATTTGAAGGTTCATGTGTGTTATTTATTTAGAATTTCTCATACAGCTGCACCCAATTTATACATACAGCTAGCACCACAGCATACAGATACAGCAACTCTGGTATAATGGAAAAAATTCAGGATGTGGAATATCTTTAATTGTCCAACCACAGTAGACTGCCCTGTGTGAAGTAAGTGTTCACCAAATATAATATGCTGACAACTGTAATTAATATTATAAGATCATAGAAATTATCTAATATAATTGAAAGAAAGACTGGAATTTTCTAAGAGCAAAGATCAGCAATCATTTATCCCAGAAGAACTAGTGTGAGCGTGTGTGTGAGCGTGTGTGTGTGTGCATGTGTGCTGGTGCACGTGTTGGGAAGTCTTAAACTTCCAGTTTACTGGGGTTTAGCTAACAACATAAGGTTTTTCTAAGAACTTTCCATTAAGGAGCTTATTTCTTCTCATCTAGATAAGTAATTCAAGGACTTCCCAAGAATAATCCTTAGAGTACTGAGGCTTCTGGAAGATAAGGAGGAGACCCCCTCTTTCTATTCTAAGCACCTCCCCTTACCATTGCTTCCCTTCCCATTAATTTACAGGAGTCAAGACTTCGTAATTTTTGCTTTACTTAGAATTGAAACTCCCGCTACTGACACAGATACCAGATCACAAAACAACATCAATCTCAGGACATAGGAGAAAAGAATGTACTAGTAGACAGTAGAGAGGTCCGGGAGAATGTAAGAATTTCTTTTCTCTCAAAACTACTTTAAATGAGTCAGTTTTTAGGAAAATTGGCAGCTAACAATCTAGAAGATACAGCTTTTAAATGTTTCAAAAATTTGTCTTTGAAATACCTACAAAAGTGCTTATTTTTTTTCTTTTTAAAAATCAGGATGGGCTTGGTGCCAAGATTCTACTGCCAAACAAAAGTACCACTTTATCAAGCAATTGCCTAAAAATAAAAGTGTGTTATTTTTGAGACAGAACTGAATTTAGTATTCTGCCACTGCACTTGGGACATTTACTTTAAAAGGCTTTCTTTGTGGCCTGGGAAAATACACGACACCATTGTACCCACCAAATGGGCGGTTATGCCACTTAATGTAGACTGGGACGTGAGTGATGTGGCTCCACGGACGGATGTCCTGGCCAGTCATCCGCCCACATATAGCAGCATCTCTCTCCTGCACGTACCTCCAAATTAAAGCTTGGGTTTTGGTGGAAACTAGTGTATCATAATGCCATATGGACCGCCTTTTTATGACTAGTAACTAAATGTCACAATTTAGGCCAAATGAAACAAAATATTCTTCGTGGCTTTCCTATTTTGAAGTATTTAGAAATCTTCTCTTTTGCTGGAATCATCTGTAACTCAAATAGAGCTACACACCATGAGTCCAATGGATTTATGATATTTCATGGTTTCCCTTTGCCTGGTGGTCTCCAAATTTGGCTGCTCATCATGATGACCTAGGGAATTATTTTAGAAAGCCCATTTCCAGGGCCCCACCGAGACCTACCCTAGAGTCCCTGAGAGTGAGGCCCAGAATTCTACATTTGATTAAGCTCTGCAGGTAACTGTGACAATTGTGAGGATCATCCAGGAGGGGAACTACCGTCACAGCCTCTCTTTCCTAAGTGTTCTGCCGCCTCCCACGGCTCGCTCTCTGTGCACAACGATGTTTGTCTTTTGCTTCCAGGTTAAACGTCTTCTCAGTTTTACCTGCCTTTATATTTTTTCTTGTAAACCACCTTAAGTACTTTGGTAAGGAAAGTGGTGGTAAAACTATCAAATACAGAGATGGTGTTCTTTTCAGTATTTTTATAAAATGGGAAAAAGATTTTAGCAATAACTTTGTCATAACACTGTTTTATGATGGTAAGAAATGAGTCAAATTTACAAAATTCCTGAACATATGTGATCACTTTACAGGAAGAGACAAAATCCAATTTTACTTATTTCCTGGAATTTAGATACTACATATTTTTTATTCAAAATCCACTTTACAATGTAGGTTAGCTCAATTCAATATAGTTCAACAAAGTTTTATTGAGTCCAATCTTAGGCATATAGGATATAGAATTAAGGCCTAGATGGTACCCTTCCTCAAAGAATTCATAACATAGTAAGGAAGTCAGACATATATTTAAAAAAACAGCGTGGAAAAGGTGAAGAAAAAGGTACTGAAGGAACACATTTGAGAAGGATCAACTCTATCAAGGTGGGCAGATATGATGAAAAGTATAGTTTCCTAGGGGAGGTGACACCTAGGTTGGGTCTTACAGCCCAAGAGGATGAACAATACACTACCACAAAACCTGATGCCTCAAAAACATAGACCAACGTGCCTTTCCAACTAAGATGACACTCATTTTGATGTTCAACAACTACTTCCACAGTAGAAACACTGTAATCACCGCTGCAAGACCATGTTCTTTTTCCACCAACAAAAATTTGGGGATATATCATTAAAGGTGTCTACTTAAGAGGCAGAAAGATGGCTTTGCATAATTTATCTTTCTGTGAATCAAGTTCTCATTTCTTTTTTCACGTTCGCTCCTTTCCTCCTCTTTTGAACCCCATGACTCCTCCCAAAAAGTCTTTGGTCTTTATTCTTTTTTTTTTAACTATAATAAACAACACAAAAGATAGAGAACAAAGGAGACACTTTATAACTGAGAGAATCACTGGCAATCATTACACCATATATAAAATGATTCAAATCTTCAGCTTAAGATGGTTTTTATTGGTGTTAGTTCTCTATACAATGAGCTGATAGGGGCTATTAAAACTCTAATAACATCTGACAATAAATGAAAGATATTCTTCAGGGATCAGAAATATTACAATAGCTCAGCAGTATCCAGGTTAAGTGAAGAGACCTCTAAGAACTAAGGTATGTGTTCATCCTTCAGACACTTACCTGGCACTGACTGAAGGGCTAGATGCTGAGGCTATGAAGAGGAGGAGATGGTTCCTTCCTCTGAGGCTCACAATTGGCCAGAGAAGATGCCATCATCACAGCTGACTGTAATACAACATGTCAAGTGCCATAAAGGCTGATGAAAACTGTACTCTGAAAAGAGTAGGGTGGGGAGCCATGATGGACAAGTGAGATTTAGCTGCACTGGTGGGATTGGTGAGGTAATTTTGGGCAGAGAGCCCTGTGTGGGCCAGCAAAGTGTTTGGTGTCCCTTTGCATGAGTAGTGGTGTGGTCACACACAGAATAGTCACACAGAATAGGGTGCTTGTACACACGTGTGTGTGCATGCAGAGGGCTGAGTCGAGGCAGAGGTGGGGCTAGAAAGGCACACTCACCATGTGGAGGGAGACCACCGATAAATGGGACCTGTGTTGAAAACTATCCAGAGAGATTAATTTTTTGAGTACCAGAGGACCTCACGCAGCAACTCATCTACAAGACAATTCCCCTACAAGGATACCAAGAATCTCACCAAGGCAAGGCTCCAGCATCTGATTTAAAAATAATGCTCTTGTAGCTTTGCCTAGGAAGAATTTATACCACATGGGCCACTCATTGAAGAGAAAAAGCATAGTTTTAAAAATTCAATATTAAAATTATTTACAATGTAACATTTTTATTATGATAGGCCCACAAAGTAATAAATAATCAAATGTAATCTATAAAGATCATATTACAGAAGCAGATACTTCCTTCTAAAAGTCAGTTCTCAAGATACAAAACTAGGTAACTAAAGAAAAGATAGTTTTAGACATAAGAATATGCTTCTATTTGAGAAATATTTCTATTTGAGATTAGACTACTTTTTGAGATGTAACAACTTAGTTGTAGGCATAAAGCCATCCAATTTTATTAAAATAGGCTAGTATAGATTTTGTGTCTGAGTGCACGTGCATGCGAGTGTGTGATCACACTCCTATCATTCTTAAACTTCCATGGAGAAGTCTCATAAAACTATCATAAGAATTTAATTGCATATTTTAAAAGAAAGTTCATCCTTTTCTTTTCTGGAATACAGAATTTCAGTTTATTTGGCAGCAGCCATGGAGGCCCAAGTTTAATGACAGCTGATTAAAATTGTCCTTTTTCTTGTTTTTCATTTATTATAAAATTATAAAAGCATTTCTTACTCAGAATGGTTTTCAATTTTCAATATTTTGTATATGCTACGTGTGTCATCTGAGACAGACTATTTCCCCTAAAACATAATCAAAGAGACAAAGATAACATTTGCATTTTCTTTGTTCAAGGTGTTTATTGCATCTCAGAGGGCGTACATGCACTGGGTTTTTAAACTGAAATACAAAGAAAAGCCATTTTGAAATTGGTTTTAGGTAATTTTTCCCCATTACAGTGTATGTTATCCCCACAGTAATTCAGATACAACCACTTTTAAATGGTACCATACATCTATTAAATAATTGGAAAAATAGGCAAACACCTTTCCAACCCAATATGCTTTTACGAAGAGCTGCCAAGCCACTAGCAACACTGATCAACAGTGACCTCATTTATGCATCAAAATCTTAAGCCAAGCCATCAGCACAGACAGTATGACAACAAATTAAAAATTAAAGAATACAGTATGTACAGTAAAGGATACAATTCTTTGAATTAGTTTAAATTCTAATCACAATGGTACAACAAAAGCTACTCTGAGCTCAATTGAGGGATGGAAGAACACTAGTCTACAGAACACACAAAGAAATACTAAATTAACAGATGTACATAAAACCCACAATAAAACAAAAATATCTGCAGTAATCTTTAAATTACAGATACACCTTAGGGTGACTTGTAATCGCTTAAATAGCACATCTCTAATTGCATTTTCACGGACATGGTAGAAACGGACCTGTACTTTTCAGTGCATTTAATCAAGAATGAATAAATAGGTCAATTTAGATGCAAAACCTGTCAAATATAATTAAAATATATATTTTAATATAGCATTGATTAAATATGGAATTCTTCCCATATGATTTTTTCATTCTTGATAAGGTAGCTTCAAGGAGAAATATTTATTATGGACGTTAACCTTTATATTTTTTAAAATAAAATTTCTTAACATATACAGTGCCACAAAAATAAACATTTCTCACAACAGTTGAAGTTCCTGTGATTGGAAAAATGTACTCCACACGGAAAAAAGTTTTGTATATTTAAGAGTGTTTTCCTTACTATCGGATATTATCACACTATGTTTGTAACAGAGATACAGAAGAAAAGAGAATTTACGGGGAGAGTTTAGCTTTGTCCAAAAGTTATATATACATTGAAACCTTCAAAAACACAGACACATCTTTCCAAATGGCTCACCAGACAACAGCTGCGTGATCCGTCCATGGGCGAGGTCCAGAACAGCACTAAAGGCATCGGAAACATCCATTCATTGTTTACATCGTACGACACACAAATAACCCAAATACACTACAATTTTGAGAGTAGGGATAACAGCTAAGGTGGTACACATTCCTAATGTTCACTTTCACAGCTGTGCTACACATTTTGGAAGAGAAGTTATGAGTAAGCATTGGGTTTGGTACTGGTGGCTCACTTTGAAACTCTGAGCATCAATCTTATTTGAAGTCTCCAAACTCATTATTTTTTTCCTATTCAGTCACAAAAACTGCAGCTGGAAAGACAAAAAGCACCTAATTAGAAAACACTGTTGCATACTCCTCACACATTTTACCGCCCTTGCAATTCTACTTCACAGTTACTATGAAAAATCTTTTCGCAAAAGGTTTCCGTATTAACAAATTCACATTTATATACTTTCCCCAATTCTTTAAAACAAGCTTACAATTTCAGCCAGGATACATTTTAAAAAAACTTTTAATGTATAGTTTAATTTTAGAGAAATATCATATCAGCCAAATTTTGAAAATTTGTATACTTATTAGAAATCTTAGTAGTAAGACATTCAGTATCAATTAAGAACAGCTCACCTTTAACAAGGGAGTGAAAAAAAAAAGAACTGCAGTGACTTCCATTATTTTTTGCTTCTTTTCACTTATGGTGCTCACTGAGTCACTAAAGAGTTAAACAAGTGACAGAACAGAAGAGAAGGGAGATGTCCCTGATGACCCCATGGCCTCACTGGGGCCACTCCCCATTTATGCCCCTAGCTAATCCATGCTTCACCAGTCATCTCTGCCAGGAACCTTTCCCTGGGGCCTTGAAGCTTAGCTCTGTGGGTGACTCTCCTTCATGGTAGTGTGTGTGTGTCCCCTGTCAACTGTGAATCTCTGAGGGCAGAGACTGTCTCAAGCACCTCTGTTCCAGGTACTTATCAGAGTTCCTGGCATATGCTGACAGCAATATTTACTGAACGAGAGGTGGACAACAGCTGCTCTCTGCAGTGTCCTTGGTCACTCCTGAAACTTCAATTGCCAAGAAATAAGTGTTCATCATCTTATTTATGCCTACATCAGTCCAGTCCAACTCAAAGTGGAATAGAAACACTGGGCACAGGAGGAATTACTTGGCTGAGATGTCGAGGCTTTAAAATGATAAATTACTAATCTTGTATAAGAAAGAAAATCATAAAGCAAGAATCCACAAAAATCTTAGTAGCCAGTAAAGTAGGCATCTACTAAAAAATATAGGTAGCAGATGTCTAATAAAAATAACACTGGACAGTGGTCCAAAAACTTTGATGCTCTTACTGCTTTTCCAGCTTGATTTTGGGCAAATCACTTAATGCCGAGGATCAGTTCTCTCAGCTGTGAAGATGGAAATGAAAAGTATCTGGCTAGCTTATCTCACAGGCTTTGCTTTCCTACAGAGACGATCAAAGGAGTTAATGACTGGGAAGTGCACACAGAAAGTGCTGTGTAAACGGAAAGCAGCATTATCACCGCTCATCCACATTCGAGAAGTATCTGTCAGGACCTGCCCACTGTGTTAGGGGCTGGGGTTAAGAGTCAACTTTTTTCCTTAATCTGTTTCCTTCTATAAGTCCACTATTAGTCATTTCATAAATTATATTAGCAATTTAAAACTAGAAATGTTAGAAATTCAAAATTCTGCTTGAATGCAGAAATGCAAAGGGCAATAATCTCTAAGCTTTGTTTGATAATGCCAAATAAGGATAAACAAAATAAAAATATGAGTATGTAGCCAAATATATTCTTAGACGATTTCTAAATGCAATATTAAAAAGGTTAGCTTTCTATAAATTCCAGTCATCATGTAATAAAGTGGTAATTATCTAATTTACCAAGTAGCTTGGGCAACTTCTTGCTTTATCCGTATTATCTTTGTGCTTTCCAGTATAAAGACAACTTAGAGGCTTCCCTCTCTCTTAAGTTTATAAATTAAGTAAAACTTAAAAAAATTCATTGATAAAGATAGTTTTCAATATTGATTTAAAAAGTATAAACACTCAAATTACCAGTATATACATGTATGCAAAACAGAGAAGTACAAATATCGTACCTTGAACTAGCTAAGCATTGCACAGGTCATTCTTACAAGCCCACAGGAAAAGCTCAGTATTAGATACCTTAAATTGTTTACAAGAAATCCTTGATGTTAAGATCCGCTAATGGGTCCTTTGCTGGAGGTTTCTTGGGACTCTGAGTGGCAGGTGTAGGGCTTGGAGAAAGCTAATGGGGGAAAAGCGAGCCCAAGAGAGCAGAGATAGAAAGCAAACAGAGAGATAGATAAGCGTTAGGCAGAGCACATACCACAGAAAACAAACATGCAGAAGATTAGACAGCTACAAGTTGACAAAATCGACCTTGTTCTACTTAGTCACAGTGTTATTTTTAATTTTGGATTCGTAAAATACACTTCAAATGATTTCTGCCTTTCTTGAGATCTTTGACATCAAATTTAGCAGAAGTAAAATTTGAGGACTCTGGTAGAACAACAGGCATGTGGGTTAGGGAAGACGCAAAAAACTAGGCACATAAGGAGACTGAATGTACAGGAACGAAAAAATCAACTTCTCTACACAAAAGCATTTTGACTTTGAGTTATTAGTACTACTAAACTAATAAAGGAATTTAAATGACTTTTCTTATAGTGAGAGTGAGTTTTAAGGAAAAACTGAAATAGTTTGCAGAGACCCACTTAAGAAATTACTTAAAATTATTAGCTAAATAGGCTAGGATTTCATATAAAGTATTTGAAGTGAAAACAAGTCAAATTTTGAGGCATTGTTTCAAATGAGCTTTCCCAGTTATTAATGCCACTAAATTCCAACATTCCCTGTCCAGATCGCAGAGAAGACTAATTACTAAATACAACAAGAAAGAGTCATACTGAACTTGCAGCAAAAGAAACCAAGAATTAACTTACCTTTCTTCTGTTTAACTAATACCTACATTATTTCACTGTGTGACAGAAACAAGTTCTGGGAGCAGGCTTATGCAGGAAAGTTAGGGTAGAAGGCCTTGAAAAAGGTCATATCATCTATTCAGAGTAATAACTGACATCTATCCTTCGAATCTAATTAATCTCCTAAGCTTCTAACATGAAGGAAATCTGAGAAATCTAGGACTGTGGGGCAGGGAGGTACGTTTTTATTGGTTCAGTAAACAGAGTCCCAGAAGTAAGGATTTTTAGCTATGTTCCTATATCCAGAAACTACTGATGGACTGCAGTATCTATCAGTCAAATTTCCACTTTTAAAACTGACATCATAGTTCATAGAAAGATCAGGGAAAAACTAACATAAGGCTTGAAGTTGTTTCAAAGATAAGAAACTCAAGGATTGGTCCATAATTAATAAATAGATCAGACGACAATATCATGATACCAACCAACTGAAGAATATTGGAATAGTCCAGGCACCAGTGATGAAAAACCGTTTTGTTTCCTGAAGCTAAAAATTCATGTTTATTTTATTATCTAGTTAATCAGCTACGCTTCTTCTCTGACATGAGAAATACAATCTAAAAACTGTAATATCGCATACCATTTCCTCAATTACTATAAATTCGATTACTGGTTAAAACACTGTTTTCTTTCTTTTCTTTTTTTTTTTTTGAGGAAGATTAGCCCTGAGCTAACTACTGCCAGTCCTCCTCTTTCTGGCTGAGGACGCCTGGCCCTGAGCTAACATTGTGCCCATCTTCCTCTACTTTATACATGGGACGCCTACCACAGCATGGTGTACCAAGCAGTGCCATGTCTGCACCTGGGATCTGAACCGGCAATGCCCGGGCCGCCGAGAAGCGGAACGTGCGAACTTAACCGCTGCGCCACTGGGCTGGCCCCTAAAACACTGTGTTTTCATCCTATCATCTATTTTTCATTTTCATTCTTTGAATAAAGTAAATAAACTGATGCTATATAATTCTGGTATTATGCAGGTAAAAAAACTTCCTTAAATAATAAAATTGCATTAATTTATTTCTAAAGCTTTCAGCACACCAAATACAATAAGATTTTTTAAAAATTTCAATAACATCCTTCCAAGTTCATAAAAATACAAACATCATTCCTTTTTTCAAAATGGTGGTAAAGAGTCATGGATATATACAACCATCAAGGAATCACTCATGACGAATGAGAGCCTTCTTAGAATTTAAATATGTCCAGATCAAACTTTACCTCAACCATTACCCCTAAAGCCTTCCTCACTCCCCCCAAAACAACTCCAGGCAGGGTTCTTCGGTCTCAGAGCAGACTAGAAAATTTCTCGTGAAGCCAGTGCTTTAGTTATGGCCTCGAAGGCTGAGTGTTCCACATTCTAAATCTATGTCTTTCAACACCCAACATTCTTCCTCCTGGTCACTGTGGCTTTCAGGGGCTTAAAGTAAAGAAGCTGAAAGCAAATTTTGGGAACAGGTAGAGGATGGATTTAGACACGAGCACGGAAGCAAAGGGGATTAAAGTACACTCAAAAAGTTCACAGTAGGAATCCCATGGGTGAGATGATATAAATACCCATTTGGTAAATTAAAAATATTATAGAACTGCAACAATTTACTGATATTAAAATATATCTGAGCTATTTGTTTTGGTTTGCTCAGCATGGTGCTAGCAAAGTTACAACTTGACTCCATCCAAGTCAATTTCTCATGGTGAAAACCTCTTTAGTTCTACCTATGCCTCTGCATCTCGGCCAGGCAATTTATAAGAGGAATCAAGAAAGGGTGACTCAGCAACATGACTATCACTATTGGAAGAAAAACAGTTAAAGTGAGTGTATTTTAGCATTTCTAAATGAAGGCAGCAGACCGTGTAGTAAGGAATTTGGCCTCACTTAAAGAGAGATTTGCTCTTTGTCCTGGACTCTGGAAGGTAACCTCAAAACCCTTGCAACCTCCCAAGTGACAGGAATGTCTTTCCTATCCAGAGTGGGTTCCTGGAACCACAACTGAAAGTTTATGTGAAAAAATGATTCAAGGTGGTGGCGGGCCCTACTAGCAAGACCAACCATGTGATTAGAGAGTCAGGTCTTTGGGCCACATGACGTCAGGGTGACCTTCAGGCAAGGGGATGGAGATGGAGTTCGACTACATGGGCAATAATTCAGTCAATCCTATATAAGAACGCCTTAATAAAAACTCTGCATACTGAAGCTCAGATGAGCTTCCTGTGTTGACAATACTGCATGTGAATTGTCATGCACTGCTACCGCCAGGTGGGTAAGGCATCCCTGAGGACAAAGACGCTTCATGCTTGGAACCCTCCCAGACTTCACCCTATGCATCTCTTCTTTCGGCTGGATCTAATTTGTCTCTGTTCACCATAATAAAACTGTAATTGTCAATCCAGCGATTTCCTGAGTTCTGTGAGCTGTTCTAGGGAACTATCTAATCTGAGAGTGGTCCTGGGAACACTTAAATTTGTAGTCAGCAGGTATGAACTAAGGGTGGCCTTTGGGACTCCTAAACTTATGCCTGGTGTCTGAAGTGAGGGCAGTTTTGTGAGGACTGCCTCCCCAGACTTTGCAGTTTGGCAAACTCATTGCAGTTAGTGTCACAAATCTTGGGCAAATCTGGAGCACTGTGTCCCTAATCCTGAATTTGGCTAACTCTAACACCTAATAAAACAATGGATGAGAAGTGCTAATTTCTCTGAAAGAAATGCCTAGACACCTTAAACCATCTGGTTGTTCTCAGGAACCATACTGAGTTAAGTAGGACAGGAATGAAGGAACCTTAGGACAGTTAGTTATTTCTATCATTTTCCTCCAAACCTCACACTATTACTAATCTGTCTTCCATGTTCCCTTTATTTCGGAAGCAAAAAATATGAGGATTACGTTAGGTAAAAACATTTTAAAACTGTGCCACATGACAGTTTTATCCTTATAAATTAATGTCATTATTTTGTGGACAGTTTAAAAACTGACCTGTGTGCCAGGTACAGCTGTGGCCCCAAAGGGTGGCCTCATCATGGGCTGTGCAAACATGACTGGCTGCTGAGGCATCATGGGCATGCCCGTCCCAGCAGGAGGCTGAAAGGAAGAATGGTTGACAGCGTGAGTGGAGTCCACCACGGTAACGCCCTGACATTTGTGTCTTTAATGTGCTTCTGACAATTTGTGAGGAATCCATGCCCATGAGAATGTATCACTGTAGTTTTGAATAATGGGCGCTGCGAGGCTGGCAGATAGAGAATCACTGAGATGCAGTAGAAGCTCGGCTGGCCACACAGCATCCTCATCCCAAATGGGCTTTGTGGTTGTTTATTCATCTTCTGTAAGCATAACTCTTGAAGAGATAAAAACTTATTTCTTTATAGAAGATGGCCCTAAAATTTGCTAGTGATAAGCGAAAATCCTTGAATAGTGACTAAAGAGTTGATTTTGATGATTGAGCTCAGAATAGACTTGGCAAATATTACTATAAAATGACATAAGAATGTACTATAGAAATCAATTTTATGGCAGATTATTTTAAGTATCTTACAACTGACTTTATCACTTCAGGTATAGACAGCTTAAGGCCTAAAGCAGATGACTTAACTTTTTAAGTTCTCTTTTATTGCATGTTGGGAAGAATTATATCCTACAGCAGTACTGGTTAATCTGAGACTTGGCAAAGGCCTTGGTAACGTCAATTACCTTTTTTAGCACATTTCATCACTCACCATTCCAAATCCTGCTCCAGGTTGTCCAACAGGTGGGGCCCCAGCAACAGGAGGAACAGAACTAGTTGGAGGTACAGTTCCTTGCTACCAAAAAAACATAAAACACACACACACACAAAACAACAAACAAACAAAAAGAACCGACATAACTTGGTTTTAAAGTGACAGAATATAATTTTAAAATGCATGCTCCTTAGGATGTGTGGATATGTAAAGAAATCTCAAATTTCAGTTTTAAATAAAAAAAAAAATGGCTCTAGAACCATGCCAATGATATGAGCAAGGTTACTAACTTGATGTTCACTGTTGTGGTGCTATTTGCGCTCAGTGGCTTGCAGCTTATGCACAGCATCGGGCTTCCTCTCTACCTTCTTATACCCACCTCACTTTAAACAAGTCAAACTTCTCTAAGCTTGTCTTTTTCTATCATTATATCCTCCGACAGGTAATGATTAGACATCTGAGGAATGCGCTATCATTTACATTTTCAGTGCCTGGTTTCCACTTCCCCCCTATTTTTGTATTATGCTCTCCTGGGTTATACTTGCTTCTGACTTTTGAACATTTGTACATGGACCAAAATTAATTCTAAAGTTTAGGAAGCATTTAGAAGTCTGCACATAATCATAATATAGCACACATATCCCATTTCATGTATAGGTCTGATAGTTTTCAGTCATACACCAAAACCCCCTAATATTTCTCATATGTTTAAAATTAACCCTACCGTAATCCCTTAAATTCAAGTAACCATTTGAGCAAAATCCTAATTAAAAAACTATAGTGATGTCAGCAAACATGATGAAGTAAGGACTCCAAAAGTCTCCCTAAGCCACAAAATCAATTAAAAACAGGCAAAAACTGTCAGAATCAACTATTGTGGAACTTGAGATACTAACTAAAAGCTTGCAGCAACCTAGAAAGAACTTATTCAAGAAAATCAGCTGAATCTTGGTGAGAATAGTGAGCTTTGTGGCATTTTAACTTACCCTATTTCCATCCACTGTAATCTTGAAAATAACAGCACAGATTCCCAGTAACAGTATCAGAGGGAGCAGAATATATTTAATTTTTGTGTTTAATTTAATAATATTTAATTATTTGTTTTGTCTTGTCTGCGTGGTTCCCTGGAAAGACTGGCTCAAAAGGATTGTGTCTGCCTCACAAAACTGGGAATGCGCCTAGTGCTAAAGTTGTTACCTGAAGCCATTTGTGGAAAATATTTACAGGCAAATGTTTTAGTTGTTACTGTCTTGGGCAATGGATAACAGTCAGGGAAAACAGTAGACTAAACAAAAAGCTTGGGAGGAAAGGCTGGAGGATGAGACGCTTTGGGGATTAAAAATTTGAAAAGCTCAGACATACTCCTGGGCATTTAGAAGGCCATGCACATTCCCAGGGCTTTGTGCATGCTCAGGAAAGACTTGAAAAGCCTTTGGCTGACCCTGAGGCTCTGAAAAAGCATTAAGGCAGTGACTGCCAAGGCAGAGTTGCAAACTGCCTGGTTGAGTTGAAAACATGCCCCAACACATACTCAGAGCCCCTCTGCAAAGACTGGGAGATATTTTTGGTTCCAGGAGTTTATGTAGTATCTGCCTAATCATTAGCTGACCACTTAGCTAAAGGAACGAGACTTCAATGGTCACACAGAACAAAGAATACAGACTACAGAATTAGCTCAGAATGGTCGCACACACATAAATGACAACTACAAATAGTCGCAATAATAAAACTTGGGAAGGGGGTAGAATCTAACTTCCAGAGTTGTCACATTATAGTATTCAAAATATCTAGGTTTCAACAAAAAATTATGAGGCATATAAAGAAACAAGAACATATAGCCCATATGCAAGAGAAAGATCTCAAATCAATAACTTAAACTTCCACCTTAAGAAACTAGAAAAAAGAAGAACAAACTAAAGTCAAAGTAAGCAGAGGAAGGAGATAATATATATTAGAGTGGAAACAAATTAAACAGAATGGAAAAACAAAAGAGGAAATAGAAGAAACAGAAAGTTGGTTCTTTGAAAAGATCAGCAAAATTAACAAACTTTCAGGTAGCCAAACCAAGAAAAAAGGAGAGAAACTTAAATGATCAAAACAGGAAAAGAATTAGGGACATTACTACCAACATTACAGAAACAAAAAAGATTATAAAGAAATATTATGAGAAATTATATGCTAAAACACTAGCTAAGATAGATGAAACGGTCAAATTCCTAGAAAGACACAAACTTCCAAAACTGACTCAAGAGGAAATAAAAAATCTAAACAGATGTATAACAAGTAAAGAGACTGAGTCACTAATAAAAAAAACTTCCATCACAGAAAGTCCAGAACCAGATGCCTTCACTGGTGAATTCTATTAAATGTATAAAGAAGAATTAATATCAAGCCTTCTCAAGCTCTCCAAAAGAAAAGAGAAGAGGAATACTTCCTAATCATTCTTTGATGCCAGTATTACCCTGATATCAAAGCCAGACAGGGACATTGGAAGAAAACTATAACTAACATCCTTTATGATCATTGATGCAAAAGTTCTCAACAAAATACTAGCATATTAAATACAAAGAGCATATTAAAAGAATTACATACCATGACCAAGAGAGATTTATCCCGGGAATGCAAGGTTGGTTCAATCAGTGTGATATGTTATATTAATAGAATACAAAAAAAACCCCCCACATGATCATCTCAATAGATGCAGAAAGAGCATCTGACAAAATCCAACACCCGTTCCTGACCATGAAAAATCCACTCAGCAGGGGCTGGCCTGGTGGTGTAGTGGTTAGATTTACATGCTCCACTTTGGGGCCTTGGGGTTTGGCGGTTCGCATGCCCAGCATGGACCTACGTACCACTTATCAAGCCATGCTGTGGCAGGCGTCCCACATATAAAACAGAGGAAGATGGACACAGATGTCAGTTCAGGGCCAATTTTCCTCAGCAAAAAGATGAGGATTGGTGGCAGATGTTAGTTCAGGGCTAATCTTCCTTAAAGAAAACAAACGAAAAAAAAAACAAGAAACTACTCAACAAAATAGAAGGGAAATTTCTCAACCTGATAAAGAGCATCTATAAAGAACCACCTATGGCTAACAGCATACTTAATGTACGTAATGTAATACTGAAAGCTTTCTGCTTAAGAACAAGACAAAGATGTACTGGAAGTTATAGTCAGAACAATTAGGGAAGAAAAAGAAATAAACAGCATCCAGATAAGAAAGGAAGAAATAAAACTACCTTTATTTGTAGATGACATGATCTTATATATAGAAAACCCTAAAGAATACATACACAAAAAAAACTATCAGAGTTAGTAAACAAGTTCAGCAAAGCTGCAGGATACAAATCAATATACAAAACTCAGTGTAGTGTTCATTGTACACTAGCAACGAACAATCAAAAAATGCAATTACAAAAACAAATTTAATTTACAATAGCATTAAAAATAATAAAATACTTGGAAATAAATTTGACAAGTACAAGACTTGTACACGGACAACTAATAAACCTTGTTGTAAAAATTAAGACTTAGGTAAACAGAAAGACATCTATGGACATGAATTGGAACACTTAATATTATTAAGATGGAATACTTCCCAAATTGCCTTATAGATTCAGTGCAAACCCTACTAAAATTTCAACTGCTTTTTTTTGAAAAACGGACAATCTGAACCTAAAATTTATATGGAAACGCAAGGGACCCAGAATAGCCAAACAATCTTGAAAAAGAACTAATTTGGAGGACTCACACTTCCTGGTTTTAAAACTTACAACTAAACTACATTAATCTTAAGTGTGGTACTGGCATAAGGACAGACATATAGATCAATATAACAGAATAAAGAGTCTGGAAATAAACCCATACGTCTATGGTTAATTGATTTCTGACAAGGATGCCAAGACTAATAAAGATAGAAAGAATAGTCTTTTCAACAAATGGTTCTGGGACAACCGGATTTCCATGTGCAAAACAACACATTTGGATCCTTATCTCACACCATATATGAAAATGAGCCAAAAATAGGTCAAAGACCTAATGTAAGACATAAAACTATACAACTCTTGGAAAGAAATGAGACAGGAATCAGCCTAAGGAGACAGGGTCATCCGCAAGGCCCCTGGCCTAACAAGATAAATCTCCTGACCCATCAGCAAGCTAAGCGAATCACGTAGAGACCACCAAGACCCACATTCTGCAGTTTCAGGACTTTCCTAGGCTTATACATGTGCCCTAGTACCCAGGAGTTGAGAGAAGGTGACCCTAGCCCCATTAGCATAGTAAAAATCACACCCAAGGGTGGAGAGCTAGCATGCTAATGATACGTGTGATGCATGTGGTGGCATGTTGAACAACAGTGCAAGCACAATAAAAACCCTGCCTCTACATGCCATGACAAGGCCCTCTTCCCCAGCTTTGGTCTAATAAAAGCCCTACAATCCTGATCCCTAATGAGCCGGTCACCTGCCCCTTTCCTTTCCATACTGCCTCCCTTGTGCCTCTCCTGTGCATATGCTAATAAACTTTTACTTTTCCCATTTGTTGTCTCTCTTGATTTCTGTCCTGAGGGAAAACAAGAACTCAATGCTCCAGTAACAGAAACACTGGTGTAAATCTTCAAGACCTTGGATTAGGCAATGAATTCTTAAATATGATATCAAAGGAACAAGCAACAAAAGAAAAATCAGATAAAATGGAGTTTATTAAAATAAAAACTTTCGTGCATCAAAGAACACTATAAAAAATGAAAAGACAATTCAAGAATGGGAGAAAATATTTGCAAATGATGTATCTGATAAGCATCTAGTATCTAGAATATACAAAGATCTCTTAGAACTCAACAATAAAAAGATAACCCAATTATAAAATGGGCAAAGGATGTGAACAGACATTTCTCCAAAAAAGATAGGCAAATAGCCAATAGCACACGAAAAGATGTTTAACATCATTAGTCCTTAGGGAAACGCATATCAAGACCACAACTGAAACCCTGTGCGTTACTGGTGGAAACATAAAGTGATGCAGCTGCTGTGGAAAAATCTGGTAGTTCCTCGAAAACCTTAACACAGAGTTACACATG